CCCGCCACCGCGCGCACCGCCCCCCTCCCCGTGGGGTGCGGGGTTGGGGGGGGCACTGACAACCCCAGTGCGGGCGAGCCCTGCGAGCCATGAACCAGCACCGCGCTGGGGGGGGGGCTGGGGGAAACAGGGCCCCACTGCACCCCAAAGGTGCCCCCGGGCCTGCGGTCCCTTGCCCGTGGAAATAATCCTGCCGGGTTTATGGGTACCCGAGCACGTCCTGGGGACACAGGCTGCGTGTGTCTGAGTACATGTAAGAATGCACATACATGCCCACATGCATGCACAAGCACGTGTTCACGTACACTGTGCGCGAACACATTCCACGTGTGCATACACACACACATTGAGCATACACACACACATGCAGCACACGCACAGACATGCATGCACAGGCACGCGTGTGCACATACATGCACAGATACCCGTGCAGGCACAGGCACATGCACACATAGGCAGGCATATGCACAGGCGCATAGGTACATGCACACAAGCACAGGCGCCCATATGCACAGGCATATCCATGCACAGGCACCCGTATGCACATACACACATGCACAGGCACACATATGCACATGCACACTTGGTTTAGGCTGGACATGCACGCACAGGTACACGCAGCCCTCCAGGACATACTCCTGGATCCCCCTGCCAGCGCCCGGGCCCAGGCTGGCCCCAGCCACCGGCGGGGACATGGGTCCCTACCCCAGTGCTGACAAACAATACTGGCAAGTGAGATGTTGTGAACGAACTCGTGGGGAACCGAACCAGGGAGGCGTTAGGAACTGTGGAGCAGTTCACCGGGGAGCAGGGAGACGCGTTCCAGGGGGAGGCTCCTGGTTCACCCCCAAAACCACATTAACTATTTGCAGGTTTGAGCGGAAACTCAGGATCTGTTCTCAAAACACCACGGCAAGAGTGGAATGCAAACAAAACCGAGTCATTTTCGCTGAAAATCGTTATGCCTAAGTCCCTCAGCAGATCCCTTCTGGTTCTCTCCTGCTTCCTCTCCCCCTCCTGCAGTGAACGTTTTGGGAAATGCAAGGAAATCTACAACCTGGATCTTTATGTGGGTTACAGAGCAGGGCGTTCACTGCCGCAAGAAGGATGACACACACAGAAGGAGCTTGGGGGGGGGGGGGGGGGGGGATAAGGAAAGGTGGGGGGATAAGGAAAGGACAATCCCAATATGATCTCTGTCGGGATTTGTGAGCAAAAGCCATCCTGGCAGCTCCCGGGCAAGCGGGACCAGGAGTCCCTTGACCACTGGAGGGAGCCCATATTGTGCCAGACTGCAGCCGGAATGCTGGGTGGAAGACAAACTCATCAGATACGAACTATCAGATCGCTGTAGTCAGAACAAAGTGTCTGCTCCGGGTCAGACCGTGGTCTGTGTAGATGCAGAATGTTATCAAATCAGATGTAAATGCCCCATTGTACTTCATCAGCACAAAGAAAGGGAAGATTACTACGAAGTGGGGGGGAGGATGTTTCCCACGTTTTGAATGTCAGTCTGGCACCTCTCACCAGGAGTGAAGTCATACACCGCGATGGTGGCAGACCCGGAGTCGAGTGAAAATACCTTCGGGCTCCTTGTGCCGTCCCAGGAGCATCTCCGGTGCCACTGCAAGTCGTTGGCACAGCTCCGCCCCTGTTCTTAACTTAAATGTAGGTCAGCACCTATAGACTCCTTCCCACAGGGACCGCCCCAGAGCAGCAGGAGGTTGCCACACCGTCTCTTGCGACAGAGATTTTGCTCTCCTGATAAGCCAACAGCCCCGCGGGAGCAGCAGAACCGATAAAGTTTCTGCCCTTTGTGCTTGTTTGTGGACCGGGAGCATCCTCATGCTTGGAATGTACCCACAGGAGGCTGCCCTAGGCCAAAAATCCTGCTTGGCACTTGCATAGAGGAATGTTCCTGGTCAGATGTGGCCCCAAAATTATGTGTTGTGAACATGTAAATATTTGTAATTCAAAACACGCTTTGAAAGCACAAATATTTCCAAGAATGGCTGGCTCCTCAGTGATGCCAAGTTGCTGGAGACCCTGAAACGTCAAAATGGAATAAAACTGAAAGTGATTTGTGTAACTATATGTTTTCTTGGCCCTGGCAAAATGACTGTAAAGAACTTGATGTAACCTCAGCCAACCAGACACAGGGAGCCCGTTGTGTTTGATACCCACGTTCTAAAACACTATCTGTAAAGGGTAAAAATCCATTCTAAGAAACCTTTCTCACCTGAGCACTTTTAGCATTAAATACCCTTTATTCAATGCAAACTTTCTTTTTCCCCCCCCCAGCTTGTGGGATTTTGCTTGGGGATTTGCTCCCTGCTCCATTGGCTCTGCTCCTTGGAGCTTGCAGGGATCCTGGTGCATTTGCACCCTCAGTGCCACGGGCTGAGGCTGTGCATTGGCTGGTGATAGCTGGCACTGTGTACCACACATCTGTCCCTAGCAGCCCCCTCTCAGGACCCCGGTGGGGAGCAGGCTGATCCTCAAGCTGTGTTTTCCGGAGCTGCTCCAGCATGAGAGCCACGGCTTCGGGCATCTGCTGCTGCCTTTGAACTCTCTCCTTCCCCCCAGCACTCAGGTAGTCTTTTTTGGTCACACATGAGTAAGAACAGATGTGAGCTAGTGTGAAGGGAAGGAAAAGGGACATACAATGCCAGCGGTTCATTGCTTGCAGAGGAGAAGGAATTCCTGTAAACCTCCCGTTTCCCAATGCGCCTGTGCATGGGGAAAGGGCTGTGAGCAAAATGTTCATGGGGTGCTGGACATGTTGAGTGGATGGGGATGAGCGTGAAGGACCAGGTACTCATGCAGATAGTTTTCTTTGCTGGGAGTGACAAAGCTGAGCTAAGCTGGGTTGGGATGGCTTAACCACACCGAGGCAAAATTCCACTGTAGACTTTACACTTCTTGCTTATTTTTCTGTGACCAAAACAGGTACAGAAATGAGTCAAAATACTCACCCATCACTTCTTACCAAGCAATAACAAGCACACACAAGATCAACCACAAAGCCTGACACCAGCACTAGCCATGCTTTAAGGACATGCAACCTCATGCCTTAAAGAATCTGCTCTCTGATGCTGAACAAGATTTCCCAGAGCCCACACAAGGTGAAGCTATTCCTCAAAATCCCTTCCTCCCTTGTGTGAGCTGGTGCTTTTATATGTGACTGCACTGGGAGGGCAGAATCCAGGACACAACCCGTGGGGGTTCTGGATGGGCAAGACACTTACATGGAGTCCATTCCCTCTGAAAGGATGCAAACATCCCTCCTGGCCACCCTACCAACAAACTGCATCTTTAGGGTGAATGCTTAAATGAACTTACAAGTCACTTTTATAATGGAAAACCTCATTTTAATAACTTACATTTCTCTTCCCACATTTTCATGCAAAAAGAATAACGTTATTTCCCCGCTGGTGGGACAATGCCCTGATGTGAGACTACCACTTTGGGGTGGTTGTGTCCAGTCATGAAATGTCCTCTCCATGGCACTGGCCCAAAGTAGAAAGGATTCCTGAAAACCCAGTACCTCGGGTTCCTCCTGATCCCTGGCACAGGCATTTAACATCAGCAAAGCCACTGCAGTGAGCATCATCACAGGAGGCTGAAAGCACATCTATTACCCCTGCGCTGGAAGAGCTGCTGCCCTTTTTTGTATAATAACCAAATATTTCAAACACTTGCCCAGAAAACATAACATCTGGATTCAATCCCCTCCCCAACCTGTGAGTCTCGAACCTGTATTTCCCATGAGAGAGATGTAGCATGATGCTAAACAGCAATCTGGTAAGGGGGGAAAACAACATACTTTTTATTCTTGCTCTCCAAGCAGAGATATTGTATAAACAAGAACATGAGTGTCCTGAGGCCAAAAAGCAAGCAAGAAGCGCATGACTCTCTAACCCACTTGCCATGGCTCACAGCAGCTGCAATAAAGCATTCTGCTTATTATCAATAGCTGTTTAATAATAAATACATAACCAACCTGAGCAGAGGGGGCAGAGCCTAGGACTTGACCCTATAGATTACTCTGAGGGAGAGGAAGCAATATTTTAGAGGTTGTAGCATGTGAACACAGCACGCCAAGTCTATAGGATGGAGAAAGGTGCAGAGATGCGAGTTTCTTGTTGTGCTGCCGAGAATAAAAGTATTCCCAAGGACTGGCTTCTCTTCCTCTGTTTTTTAGCTTCGTGGTCATCATTTATTGGTACAAGGGGATCTGAACAAGCAGAGGGAAGACACAGGCTGTTCTAATGGTGCTCATCATCCAGGCATGGCTGCAGATGTTACAGAAAACCCACCACCAAGTGTGCAAAGGCCCAGTGAAATGCTGAAGTGTCACATCTGGCCCTGGCAGGCTGATGGGGGGATGCCAAGCCAAGGGTCTGTAATAAGAATCCTGCAGCAGAAAGGGAAATTAGAAGATGACCCAACCTTTCAGTGCGCTGGGAGGAAGGTGCCAGTGCTTCTTTGCTGAAAAGGCCTTTCAGAAGTGTTTTCAGAGTTAGCTTCATGTTGTTGGTTTTTATCTTCACACAGAGCCTCACACGCGTACAGAAAGCACTGGAGATGTTTTCATGATGTGCCCAAAAGTGAAGGTGCTTTTGGGTTTTCCTACCTATGTGCAAGTCTCTTGTGCCCATGGAAATGAAGCAGAGCTGGAGGCAGCCCACCCAAAGGTTCATTTGCTCTGTACACCAGACTGACCCGTTTGGACATGGATGGCTCAAACAAGTGCCCCAGAATGAGAAACCTAAGGGATGAAAATTATGAAACAAGTTGTAGGGAGGAGAAAGGCTTCTACTACAACCCCCCAGCTACCAAAACAGTGGGTAGAGGAGCTGCAAATCCTTCAGGAAGAAAAGAAACCCAAGTCCTCAGGCCAGGCACCACTCCTGAGTCACCTCCCCAGTTCCAGAGGCAGCCAAACACCGGTTCCATAAGACAAAGCCCGTGGTGGGGTTTTGCAGCAGGGCCTGACCTCAAATGCTAGCAGAGAAACAAGCCAGCACATCTGACTCCAGTCTCCTTCTGGTAGAGGACTTCTTTGTACCACACGTGCTAGGAAAGTGTAGGCATCACCCTCACTGCTCCCACAGCTTCCGTTCCTGGGAGCTCTTTGGGGCAAAGGATGGCAGAATGGCAAATGCTGATGGCTGCAGCTCGTTCCTAATCAGTTGCTGGGCCATCTCCTCCAATGTCCAAGGTCAAAATGAGGTTTTATAGCCCATGAGCCTGGATGAGGCAAAAATGAGATTCTTGAGCAGTTTTCGTGAGCCCAGGCAATGGATCCCATGGAAAAAAAAGTTTTTCCCAATGTTAATAATCAAAGGAATAATTTGACATCTCTGAAATCTCCCCATATATTTGGAGGGCTGTAACATCCACTTCTTTCTCTGATGAAGCAGGGAATAGTGGCTGCTGCCTTCCAGCACAATGGTTAGGATATTTTGAAGGGGGTTGATGCCAGTATGATGTACATTTGTTGCCTGCTTTGGTACCTTTGGGTGAAAACGCTCTGATGTGACGACCATTATTATGCACAGACTTAGCAGGTATCACCACTTCAGGCTGGATTGTACCTAGCGCATCTTCTGCATTCCTGGCAGAGCTGATCTGACTTATCCCTGGGGTGAAGAGGTGGGAGAGAAAGAATTGCTTGTGACAGATACGAGCTATGTTGCTTAATGAAGTTTTGCAAGGTGCTCAGAGACAGCGGGATGGGGTCAAAGCAGGGAAGGTCACGCTGCTGGAAGCTGCAGTCCGGAGTCAGACCCTGGCTTCTCCTCAGAGCCTGTCACTCTGCTCCCGACCTGACTGGCAGGGCCGCTTGGATTGCAAAGAATTTATTGACACCCACCCACCATCCCTAAAGTTTTATGGCAATATAGATCCATTAGAAATCCATTTTACAGAGATATTAAAATAATGAAGGTGAGAATTAAGGGAGCTGCACGCTCCTTGGAAAACCCACTGATCATGATATACTGCCTTAAAGAAAGTTACCGTGCAGTCCCCTTAAAGAAAGTTATCAATTAGTCACTGTATCACACATAGGAGAATTGTTCCCTGAAGAGAATTTTAGGAGGAAAGGCATTGCCTAAGTGATGAATTTATCACTAGGGGTTGTGTGGCTCCATGGGCTGTGATGACATGGCACAGAGGACTCGGAGAGCAGACTGAGAGCCTGGTGCCTGAGGAAGGCTCTTTGCACTACACAGGCATCGTGCAGGGGGAGATACCCATGCTGCTCCCAGGCAGGGTGATGGCATGGGCAGGGAGGAGATGGGACCCCGGTGGGGTGGATCAGAGCTCACATGTCCAGCAAGCTGGAGGCACCGAGCACACAGGCTACGGCTGCTTGTACCTGCCTGCATACGGTATTGTGGTATTGACTTGGGAACACTGCCTCAGGCTTTCCTTCCTCCACGTGTTTCCAGACCACCATAACGCACTGTGTGAGAAGAAAACACTATGGATTTGAATGTGGCTGCCCCACTGAAACCAGGGGACATCAGAGCTGGTGTCAAACATGCACCGGTTGGTCTGTGCCACGGAGAGATTTGTCCATCCCCGCGGCTGAGCTGTGAAACGCCCTGGGGCGAACCAGCAGACAACAAAAGCTGAAGTCAAAGTACAAGAATCTGGCACGCACTGAGGCCAGTGGGAAGGCTTTACAACTATGTTTTATACCCTGCAAGCGCTCTTGCTTTCTGCTCTGTTCAGCACTCCCTTGGCTCCCCAGCACACGTGGTGCACGGAGCAGTGTGCCAATAGACTCTCTCCAGCCCAGCTGAAATATTATTTCCAAGTTGGCTACAAGGATTGTTTTATTTTTCTTATGTGTTTTTTCATCTTTTCTCCTGCAGGTGCTGAGAAAATGCAGTATTTCCCTATAGGAACCTTCTATGTCCACGTTGGTCCTCTCATGGTGAAGGGACAACGTGGCAATCGGAGAATATCCCTTTCCTCTACAGACATCCCCTCTGCAATGTGCTGGAGAATGCTGCATCCTCAAGGATGCCTCCTGCAGCTCAGCTGTGCTGTTTAGATGACTGAACATGGGCAGAGGAAGGAGCCACCGGGAAATGGCTTTTCTTGGTGGACAAATGGTAACGTCACATCTAGGCATGATGAGTCCACGTGAAATCGGAATAAACTGGCAAAATACTTCGTTTTGATCCAAATTTGCATTTCTCAATGCAAAAAGGTTTTGTGGGCAAAAAGCTGTGCTCCTCTCTTGCTGCATGGCTAAAATGGCCATGGGCAGTGACCTGCTGGCCACATCTCACTTAGCTCAGCTGAGGAGCTCAGCAGAGCCCTGACAAATCGCTGTGTTCTCCTGAGGCAAATAATCACAAACAAAAATATTTGTGTTTACTGTGGGGATTTGTCTGTGCATAATTATGCATTAGTCATTACCAGGGCTACAGGAGAGTTTTACACATGTAAATATGTTCAGTTAATTAGACAGGACTGCTTTGGGTTTGTTTCTTCTCTGCAGTCTGCTCCTGAAGTCATCAAAGCCTCCTGGATCACGAGTCAGGTTGGAGGAGATCCGTGAGGAAAACAGTTCTTCCTTTCCTTGTCATGCAGCTCTGGTTATCGAGATCTGTTCCTTTAAAACACTCCTTGTTCCTCTGCTGTTCAAGCCTCAAGGTGCTTCACGCACAATGCAACGCAGCACAACCTCTCATGTATGCGTGTCTTCAAGGGAAGAGTCAGATGTCTTTCTCAGGTAATACAATATAAGACATTATTTTCCTCTGAAACAGTTTTAAGCGCAGCAGCTTTTAGTAATCTTCTAGCATCTTCTCCTGTGTATGACAGAGTCTATTAACGTCATTTGCATGAGAAGTACACAATAAATCATTCATGCACAGTTTAGTACAGGTTAAGTGTAACAGCCTAACAGAGGCTTTGCTATAAGAAAATCAGAGCAGCTCATCAACTGGTGCAAATCAGCGTTGCTCCATCAAAGCTTCTGAGTCACACAAAGTAATCGCTTCGTCCAGAGGAAAGCTTGAGGCAGAAAAGCAGCAGGGGGGGAGCACGATTCCTGCCACACTCCAAGGAATTCCTTCCAAGAGCTTCTCTCCTAAAACCTTTTCAAAGAGCACCCACAGGCTGTGAGGCCCATTGGCAGGTCCAGGGTCATCGCTGCTTCACTGCATCCTCTTGGCTCTGCTGTGGGCAGGCTCCAGAGGAAGGTGAGGAGTGATTCGGGGGAGCATTCCGGGAAGGAGAGGCCAGGGAACCTGCAGGGAACCTTTGGCTTGCCCTGGCTGTGAGGGGAGGAGAAAGGTCCAATTCCCCAAGAACCTGCAGCTGTCATTTGGGCAAATGAAACAGCAAAACAGGATTTTAAGGTGGTTCAGTGTCCAGCCATCTACTGATCTCCATTAGTTATCCTCCACACTTGGAACACTGACCTCGTTTCCTAATGGGAGGAGGCTGTTACCTGCCCCAGGGCAGCGCAGCACATCCCTCCTGCAGGAGATGCCAACCACCATGGGAACAGCCCCACTGCACCCAGCGGGGTCCTTATCTCTGGAAGGGAAAGGAAATTCCTTAGTGATGATGTGGAATTTGTTACTGGCTCTGGAAAGGGGCTGTGTGGGCAGGAGAGAAGAGAAGGGGTCCATGGAGGGGGGTGCTTGAGGCTTTGCAGTGGGAAATAAACATGTCCTTCACCAGCACTGATAACTTACTGTCTGTCTGCAGGCGTAGGCACTGAGCGGTTGAGCTTTGCTAAAGCAGGAGGTGAACATGAGCACAGCTTGGCTGAAAGATGCAGATCTTTCTCCTCCCCTCCTCTTTTTTCCCCCTTTTTCTCGGTCTGGTTCTTGTTCTTGCTGCGGCAGCAAGTGGGACAGAGCCTCATTGTTCCTGCTGCTCAGGAAACACTGCGGGACTGATCTTATTAGAGCTCGGGCCATGCCCGGGCCAGCCAGGGGGGGCTGCCCCACACATCCTCAGGGGCTCGGAGCAGGGTGTGGAGCAAGGAGCAGCCCCGTGTTCCCAACCGGTTGCTTTGGGTCCCTTTGGATCCCTTTGGCATCACTCACTCAGCGCTTGATTTCTGGCAGCAGTTTCAGGGATTTGCCTTTGAATCGAGTCTGGGTGGCTCGAGCTGAGCACCAAAAATCAACGTGAAAATGGGAAGCGCTGCTTTAGGAGCGGGGAGGTGCTGTACCAGGAGTGGCAATGCTGTGATGGCAAGGAGTAAGCATGAACAACTTGACTGGTTTCAACCTGATTTGCCAGTAAGTCAAGCTCATGCACTGACACTGCCAGTTCCTTCCCACTGTCCCCCCACTAATTTGGGGAAAGAACATTTACTGTGCTCATCAAGGAAGTCTGAAGGTGTTAAGAGCATACCATTTACATGTAGGGGGAATAAAAGACAAGAGAAGGGTCTCCAGCAAGACACAGAGTGACCCTTTGGCTGTGCTTGACAGCCAGCCATGCAGCACCAGGCTGCTCTGTACAGTCCTGTCCCAGCCATGCCACTGCTTGCCCAGAGGATGGCAAAAGGGCACATTGATGCTGGAGGTCTTCCAGCAGGCAAGAGATAGGGGCTTATCTCAGATCTGGAGGAAAGGCTTCATTTATCCTGCTGGCTCTGGAGCTAATTACGTTGATGTTACCTGAAAGCTCAGAAAAATCAAGCTGACGTCACCCACATGGATGGTGTCCTCCTGCTCCCCAGCAAGGAGCTGGCACAGGCAGCATCAGCCATGAGTCTGCCCCTTCCAACCCCACCGTTGGTCTTAGCCCCAGCCTGGAGGAGTCACTTCTTCCAAGACATCTTCATACTGCTCTGCTGCCTGAGTGCTGGGCAGCAGCAATGAGCATAGAGGTACCAGACGGATGGCAGCACTGCCTCCTGCTCTGCCTTTGCAGCTCAGGACATTGCCAGGATGAGGAATGTTTTAGTCTCTGTGATACTGCTGTTAAACACGTCCTGATTTCCACTACGGCAGTAAGGGCAGGCAATGCAGCATACCAGTTCTTAGGTACGTGGCTCTTTTTGGATGCTTAGCTCATCCATGGCCTGCAAAGGACTTTCTCTTCTAGACTTATTGTAATATGACAGCTGAAATCTCTCTGAGTCACTCAACTTTGATCTCAACAGAGATGAACTTTCTAAATGCTCAGGTTCCAGAAGGAAGCTGCACGTTCCCAGGCTATTTATTTCCTACTTATAAAAACCATCATTTTGAATGCACTGGCTAAGTAAGAATTAATTGTATTAAAAATTCAGGTTAACGAATGCTGTAAGAAGTTGTCTTAAGGGAAATAAAAAGGGGGAGGAGGGGGAAATCCTGGGCACTAATGATTAGAGCAAAACCCTGATGTCAGGAGGACATTGTCTCAGTGGAAGCAAGTTACTCATCTTTTCCAGGAGATACATGCGTGCATTGCAAAATGTTTATCTTGTACTCTCTGAAGTGGTAGATCTACATGTGGAATGATGAAAAGGTGGCTTATTAAGCTAATTGCTAATAAAATATAAAAAAAAAATTAAAAAAAAAAAAAACCAAGGAAAACCCAGAACTACTGCGAGCAAATATTTAAAAACAGATGCAGAAGGCTGTGAAAACAAACACGATCTTGTTTCTCCATGAAGATTTCCCATCTGAAATCACACAGTTCAAAGCGACGTCCAGTTAATTCGGTACCTCCAGGCTCCCAGCACTGGAGCTGTTCATTAGCCTCTTCTAATTCTGTGATGCAGAACTGGATTAATGGAAAGGTGACTGGGAATCCACCCGGGGACCTGCTAATGATACTGCTTTGTCTTTAGAGAAGTCCTCTCTATCCTTGCCCACGTGTGGCAAAACACACACCATCAGGATACAGTGCCCCGGTACCGCAAGAAGACACTTTGGAGAGGGGAGGAAGATGTCATCACCGAGCAGTGCTGGGAACTGGCGGAACCCAAGATGGAAAAATAATTGCATGCATGTTTTTTAATACAACAGGATTCCCCCAAGCTCATTAAAGCTGATGGAAGTTTTAAAATCTGGATTACTTTAAAAATTAATTTACAGCTGTGGGGCTTGGTGGCCCAGAGAACATTAAAATGATAAATCCGGAAAGGTGATGTGAGCAGAAAGGAGGATTGCTTTGGTCACAACATGGCCTCTGGCAGCTGGGAAGGGGACATGGTTCAGTTCTGTTACCTCTGCTGTGCCATTTCTGGGCTTAACCCACATTTTAACATCTTGTCACAAATTAGTCAAATTTCCTCCCAAATGGCATGTGATCCAGAAATGATCGTGGTGCCTCTCTGCCTCATTAGATACTGGCTTACATGTCAAGGAGGGTGATACAGCCCAGCATCTGCTTGCTGGACCGCAGGACAGTCTCTGCAGAAGCTGGACATCCACACTGAGCTTACAGGACTGGATCAGGTCCACCTCCGAGGGGCTGAGCATCTCCACTGCTGTGCTCCCCACCACAGCAACCTTCAGCCAGCCGGATGGATGCAGAAGTGCTACCATTTCCCCTGCCCAGCAAGGGCCTATGAAGACAATCTGTCCCTGTCTGAGACCACAGCAGTGTCCCATTGCCTGGGATGGGAGGCAGGCGCTTGAACAGCTCCTGGTGTGCTCGGCTGGTGCCAGGCAGGGAATCCTTCACCCTGCACAGCCATCACCTTCAGGGCATTCCTGGCTGCGGGAAGAGCTATGGGTAATGATGGGACAAAGCGAGGCAGCTCCACTGAGCCCTGCAGGGGATGGACCATCATTTTTCTGCTGTGTATTCGTGTGATGCCAAGCACCAAGTGAGGTACCGCAGAACAAAGGCTGCAGGCAGGTTATATTCAGCTCACACCAGCTACCTCTGTTTGCTGGGAAGAAAGGAGCCCTTTGTTTGGAAACAGCAGCTACTCCCACAAAAACATTCACGGGGTGTCTGCACATGCAAAAGCCCCTGTTAGGTACAAAAGTGACTTTGCACAAAACAGTCCCTATAACCTAATGTGAGCTGGCAGAGCATGGGCAGAGCTTCCCAATTCAATGCAGGTTTGAGTGTGTGGCTGGGAAGGAAACTGCAGCCAGGGAATGTGCCAGCTCCATAGAGCCCCTCCATGTGCAAGCCATCCCTGATGCGACCAGAGGTGTGCTGCCTGCCTGCATATCAGCTACCAAAACGTGGGCCAGGCTGCGGA